ACCTGGAACAATGTGAACATCCCTCCTGGCTTTCGCTCTTTGTTCTGTTTTATTATGTCTGCAACCTTCTCTGCTTTCACCCCGTTAAGATAAACCGTAACTGAAGACAGCACACAGTGCAGCAGAGGTCACGACTACATTAAGCCTTTGTTCACAACTGAACAGCTGATTCTGTGATGATCTTTGTTCTTTCAGGATGCAGATGCAGTGTGTAACCTGATCCTCTCCTTGGTTTATTACTTCTGCAACCTCATGCCTCTTTCCAGAGGATCCAGGTAATTTCAAAGTCAAAACAGCCCACAGGTGCAATATGAAGCATTTCTACATTTGAATGATAAATGGGAGAGAGAGTTTCTTTGTAGCTGTCATCTTAGTTTGGAAAAAACTCCCAGAAACAATGGCCTAGTTAGACTGAAAGATAAATGCAGGATAATAATATTAATGTTATTTTAGTCTGTGGTCTTGAAACTTGAGACTCTTGAAACATGTCAGAGGAAGTATTCAGCTAATGAAGCATCACTTTCTCCTCAGTGTGGTGGCTTACTCAGTGGTGATGGGGGCACTGATGGCCAGTGGGAAAGAGGTCATTGGTAGGATCCCGAAAGGAAAGGTAAATTAATGTGAATCTTACTTCAGTAGAAGAATATATAGCAAGTTTTTATTGACTTAACACTAATCTCTATGACATTTGTTATATATGGAAGTAATGCATAGGACCAAATGCAATTTTTTTAGCAGATAATTAAACATTTTAAATGTAATTTTTTAAAAATGGGTAACAAAAATTTGAAAGCTGTCCATTGTCATTTACACTGGTGCTTACTCTACCATATGTTATGTAAGATTACATTGCTTATACGGTCTAGAATGTGTTTCTAGGTCTCAAGTGGTGTTTAAATGAGCACTATGTACATGTAGGTGCTGATTTACCTGGTGCAGAAGGACTGCAGACTTCATCATTTCCTCTTGCAGGAGTGGTGCAACATTCAGAGATTACATTTTTTTGGTGATTTGTGGTCACTTCATCTTCTGTACAATTTTGGACCATCATCACTTCAGCCAAAGTCCAGATGGTTTCAGTGGTCCAGAGTGGCAGCAGAGCAAAGGTTCAGTCTTCAAAATAACATATAATCAGACTGGAAAGCTTTTTCTTCATAAGAAGGAAAAATCATTAGCTCTGCACCAACCTCCCTTGCTGACATATTTGGTAACAGTCCAGGATAATCGGTTTAAATCCGTTTAGTTCTTTTTGCCTGATTAGTGATGACATCAGTGTCTGCTGCCTTCACCTGCTTCTCATATGTTAACTAATAAACATGTTTAATTAAACTTCAGGTCATAGTTTTCTTCAACTTTGCAGTGCTTTTTTGGTACTTACTTTAATAATTAGAGATTACAAGTGCTGGGATGTATCCGCTGAATTGAAAGTGGGCCAGGGGTCAGTCCTTGTCTAAAATCAGATGTGGTCTTTCGTCTATGATACATCCTGGTATCGCTGATCTCTGTCTCCTGCCGTTTACTGCATGTAAGAGAGGATTGTTCGCGTTCCTTGTTCGTGTGAAAGCAGGTGTCTCACAGATGGTATGAACAGTTGGCAGCCCTGCTGTGTTTTTCTTCATATTGTTGCTTCTTAAGGAATTTTCCAAAACCCTTCATGATTTAGTCTGACCACATTGGAAAGAAAGCGGGCTTCTCATTTTTGCTACACAGCGTTTAACTTCTATAAAGTTATGTGTCAATTTTTAGAAAAGCTTTCTTTTTCTGTAAATCTGCACTGCAAAGAAAGAGCAGGAACTGGCTTGTTGAACTTCAAGTGTGTCTTGGAAAGCATGGTGCTCAGGTTTATTTACACGTGTCTTTATTTATGGAAATGTGGCCTTCGCTTCAACTACTGTACCTATCCTTTAAGCTGGTTGTGGTTGTGTGGGAGTTTGGGGGGGTTGTTTGTTTGTTTTTGCTTGATTTAAATATATATATATACATATATATATCTTTTCAGCTGGTAGATTTTGAAGCCATGACCACACCCAGTCCAGATAGCTTCAGTAAAACAGCAAAGAGCTGGATGAATCTCAAGAGGTACAAAGAGTAATAATTTCTCTGGTGTGTTATTTGTCTGCTTCAGAGGCACATTATCTGACATTTTCTCTTCCTCTCTAGTTTACCAAGTTGGTACCAGAGTCTTCCATCTGTAGCAGAGTCCTTCCCGACAACCAGAACAATGATTGAGGTCCTCAACACAGACTCATCTTCACATTGTCCAAAAAAGTCTTAACACGACTTGTGCACTGCAGAGAGGTCTGTTTAGGAAAGTCTTAATAATAAAGCTCCTGCACTGGGTAGAGCATAAGGGACCGTCATCTTCTACATCCCAGTCAACACTGGACTGAGATCGGCAAAACCATCTCGGCACAATTAATTAGGAATTAATTATTTAAAATGTAATAAGGGTTTTGGCAAAGTAGTAGTGTGAGCTCTTTTTGAACCTTGAAGGAAATGAAAGGCTTTTAATGCAAATTCATGGGATTGCTTTACTCTTTAAAGAGGTGACCTCTGTTTTAATTTACCAAAAGTTGATCTTACTGTTTTATCCAAATCTTTGTTGCCTGTTGTTTCTCCTTAAATCCATGTAAAAAATCAGCTTCTACTTAAAAAACATGGTTTGAAGGGTTTTCAGAAATCTTAGGTTGACGTGCTAAGTCACCTCTCTGCCACCTGTTTTAAGTTCTTCAACCTCTGTTGTCAGGCAATTCAATATTTTTCTTTTCTACTTCTTATAGCATAAACTTAACTCACAGAACTCTAAGGATAAATTTAGGTGCTTTTGTTATTACTGGCTGGTGTTAATTCCTTAGATCCACACTCTGTGTTTGTGGAAACGATACTGGATGGTGAAAGCAGGATGTTTCCGTTTGTTTGGGATGCAGAAGAGATTCTGTCCACCTTTTTCTCTTTCTCTGCTTTATAGGCCTCGTGCCTCAGACACCCAAAGCACAACCAACGCCATCTGTCCATCGGTCGGTATGAACAAGCTTTCTTTGCAGAGTCATGCCGAAATCTCTTACTTTAGGTTACCAAGAATGTGAAATGGCACTTTCTGGTTTTATTTAACATTAAAGATTGTAATTGGCACTTTAAACATTTTCTGTTAAACCACTGCTGTGCACGCACACAGAATCCAACCTTTCAGCAGAGAATGAGTCTGGGGGTTTTTAAAAATATGGAACAAAATTTTCAGGGCTATTGTTTGTCAGCACTTGAGCAAATATGATTTATTTTATTATTTTCTTTTTTTTAATGATGAATAACAGCAGTCAGAGATTTTAGAGAGCTTTCAGAGCCATTTGGTGCTTTTTGAGTAAAATATCAAACATTCACCAAATCTGCAGGAATCTTGTCGTTATCAGTTTTGAATCTACAAAAATTACAAAAAGTCAAAAAGTTTCTTGACTTTTTCTCTGATCTTTTATAAGTTCAATCATTTTGGGGGATTTTTTCATTACAAATGTATTAGACCATCTGTCATTAAAAACAAAAAAACTCTTAGAAATCTCCCCAGAACTTGTTTAAAACAAAAAATGAAATACACAAAGTTTAACCTGGCCCAATCAAGCACCGCTAAAACATTTTTCTTCCATGGAGCAACAATGGTAAATGATTGCAATTTGGTGTTATAATCAAAAAATAATTGCTTTACTATTTTATTGCTTGTTTTTGTAAACCTACATTTACAAATTGATGGATAATGATAATTATTTATATTATTTTGCATTAAAAGTATTGAGCATTAAGTATTAAGCTCTTGATTAGAGAACTTTTGCATTCTGGTGATCGAATAAATATGTTAAGCACATGTAGCTCTAAATGGCTAACATAAAACAATTTCACCGTAAATAAAACCACAAAGAAATCAGACTGGCTTAATGAGAAGACACTTCTTTATAGTTTCAATCATTAGCTCTTAAACACTACATTTAAATTTTATGTTTATGAATGTAATCTGACTTACCTGACCAGAACTTCAGATGATCGTCCTCTAACATCTGTGACTGTTGTGCCTTTAAAGATTCATTATGGATGGAGAAAAGCACACCGCATTTATTTCCTTCCCGTCTTCCCTCGAACTTGCATCAGCTGCCTCTCTTACATCGGATATTAGCTCATAGATTCAGTTTGCTTCCTCATCACACCTGAGAGCAATATCTTTGGGAGATAAGGGACATGTCTTAAAGATTAAAATATTGTCTTTGATTATTTTAACCCCCCTTTTTATTACATGTAACAAGTTCTTGTTTGAGTTTTTGATATCTGGAGAAAATCTGGTCTGAATTGGAATTTAGTTCAGTTTAAATAATAAGACTGATGGTGTGGTCTTTTTTTGTTTGTTGGTTTGTTTGTTTCAGAAAATCTGGGTGAATCCTGCAGGATTTTTTTTCACTTAGGTAAAATGTAAACATGCAGTAACCTATGGAAATAAAATTCTTTTAGAAAAGAAAATTTAAGCACAGTGATGAACAAAGTGAGAAGGTGTGACTCACCTGGACTAATCTATCATATTCTGTGGCCTTTGATGCTTAAAGACACACCATTAATAGTCATATCAATACTGCAGTAGTTCTGTTTTTTGAATGTCCAGAACAAAGCAGTCTCTCCAGTGTTTAATTGGTTTTCGCACTTCACCAAAACGTCAGGTCCTTTGGGGTTTTTTCTTATCGATGGTTATGCTAACTGGTTGTTATTTTCTTTTCTGTGCTGGGTGTCCCAGTCATTTATTTCTGCAATGGGCTTTAGAGTGAGGAGTGCACAACTTATCTAATGTCTTCAGACTTGAAGGAGGGACTTTTTTATGAAATGATTGTTCAGCAGTTAATAAAAGTGTTTGACAGTTTTAACAGTTTGTGGTGATTTTTGTTTTCCTCACAAGTTCACAAACAATAATTTAGTCAAGAAGAAAGAAAAATGCATTCATGTTTTGGTGTGGCAGATCGTCAGTTCTGTCCTTACAACGTATATATATTTAAATTACATGTACCAAATGAAAGTGAAGTCAATAAAGAAGTGTGCGTCTTCCTTTGGCTGATCGCTCTAGCGGTCACCACAGCAGATCTGGTTTTCCTCTTTACCTCCTGCCTGGCAGCTCCATCTACAAAATCCTTTGTCCAGTATATTCACCATCCCTCCTCTGCACGTGTCCAAACTATTGAACATTCACATCTCACAACTTTGTCTTCAAACTGCTCAACCTGAGTCGTCCCTCTGATGTACTCCTGTCTAATCCTGTGCATTCTGGGCACTCCCAGTGAAAATCTTAACATCTGCATCTTGGCCTCCTCTGGCTCCACTTTGTGACTTTTTGTCAGCGTCACTGTCTCCAAATACATCATACCTACCGTCGTTGTTTTAATTCTTGGTGCTGTCCATCTGTCACAAATCAGCTCTGACATCCACCCACTCTACCTTGAAAATACTCTTCTTCACCTTCTCTTATGTTCGCATGCTCATTTTCTACATTTATCAGCTCTTCACAGGACTCTCCCACCTTCTCAGCACACTCTGACTTGTTAGCACATTTCTATTTCTCTTTGATCACCCTAACCTTCTGTTCTTTCTCTCGCTGATTTTGAATTATGACTGTAAAATATCTGATCTGCTAGGTTTAAGTTTACTGTTATTACAATTATTTAAACAAGTACAGTTAAAATGTAGAAATCACTCCACTTTCCCTTGAGAAAAGTATGTCATTATTGTATTATCTGGACTAAGAAGTATTTTCTTTACTGCAGTTCAATTTCATTCACTTAAATTTGTTTTTGGTAGCGTATGTGGGCTTCCATATAGGGTGGACAGGTCATGCTTTGTAGGCTCAGTTTCGTAGACACGGATTAAGCCTAGACGCAGGATAAAAGAAACATTCAGGGAAGTTCTCCAATGAAAAACGGCTAAATCCATGTCTGGGAAACCAAGCCTGAGAGATTTGCATTCAGATTTAATGAATGCAAAACTCTGTTTTTGCACTGAGGCTCCTGCAGTGTTGTGCATTAAGAGTCATTTCACACCCTCATCATTGTCAAAATCTCTGATCATGTCCACAATCTTGGTCAACAAGCCAAGCCTATCGAGCATGTTAGGTCCATTATGTCTGTTTACCTTCAGTCACATTTGAACCATCTAAACGAGTAAGATTACTGTTTACCCTTTGCCATGTTGCCCCCTAAAAAGCTGCTTATTAACTAAGCCGGTGTCATCTAAGGATTTCATCACTATCACCGACTGTCAGCTGCAAATATCAGAACCTCAAAGGTCTGACAGTAAACACTCTTTACTGTATGCCCAGCACAGACAGCATTCATAATTGATGCTGAAAGTGCCCAACTGAATACACCTCCACTGACTGTTGGAGCTTAATGTGGCTGATTGACTGGCTGATAAGAAGGAAGATGTTTGTAAGAACAACAAATGAGCCAGTGATTAAGTATGTTTGTGTATAGAACTGAAGAGCAGCTCAAATTCATCTGCAGTTAATGTTTAGTTTTGTTGCACAGCTGAGTAGAAAAGCTTCTTTCAGAAATTACTTTCTCTTGCAAGTCTCCCTGCTCACCACTAGGTGCTGCATAAAGGTTTTCAGAGTCAGACCCACGTGATTTTGTCACATGGAAGATGTAGTTTGCATAGCATCGCTGCATTATAGTGCAGGTGACTACAGATTAGTTGTCAGAGTGGCTGTGGGCTGATGTGGTGATCATGGCTGAGGATGTGGCCGTGTCAGAGGAGATCTTAACAGACGGTCTCACTCTGCTGGTGAACATGGGCAAAGTTCTCCTGCAGAACGCCAAGGAGGAGGCAGCAGGTAGGGCTGATCCTAGTCGCAAACCCTGTTGAAAACTTTTCACACTTTAATGTGTGTTGCTACCAGAATATCTAAAAACTTCCTAGAAATGTATGTTTATGCTTTGTTAAAGTTTTGTTCTGCCTCTTTTGTAATTCGGCATATAAAATATGCAAATTATCATTTAACTTTTTTTTAATGGAAACTTTATTACTGGGTAATAACCCTGTGTGTGTGTGTTATGGCTGTTTTACAAAGAAGTAAAACCACACACAAAAAAACAAAAACAGAACAATAATTATGTCTATGTTTGTCTGCCGAATTGAAGAAAAGATATTTTTATAATAAGCTGATGCTTTATCTTCGTTGACTAACTGCTTTATAACAGTCCCTAACCTTAAGAGTATAAGAATGCAAGAAATTTGAATGAAGTCTGGGTTTCCTATTGAATATTTTATAACTTGGCTTCTGGAGCCTTGTTACTGGATTAAAGGGGCCTGCTGGCATGAAGGTGGTGTAATGTAATCCCCGTCATGCCTATTGCCAACACAATGACATTGCACAAACAGCTTGACCCTGTAACTGTGGCCCTTTGTTCTCATGCAGAATCTTTGGAGAATTTTGTCCCACATAAAATCACCACTTTATTCGGCCTGATCACAGCTGGAGCTAGATTCTACAGCAGGTAGGATTTGGCCGTAGACGCTTAAAGAAGCACATTTCTCTGTGTCCTTATGAGAAAAATAATAACCGTTCAATCTGTTGAGCAGCATTGAAGTTAAAAAGAAATGTGAAGCGGAGGCTGTTTGGCAGAAGTCTTATCAGTAAGTATGTTTAAATAGCAAGCTGAAATAAAATGCCATTTATATTTTGTGTGGGTGATATAGAATTTTTCTATCCTTATTCCTTCTAGCATTTGAATTCAATGACACCATTATGCCATATTAAATAAATTTAATGAAATGATGTTTATTGAGGCAAACGTATGAGGGAGACCGTGATAATCCCAATACACTGTGGAACAACTGAGAGAAAACACAGATGATGAAACTCTTCTTTTGTCCCACTTGTAACTGAAAACTTTGCCAAAAACATCCCCAAATTTTTAAGACTTCTCTTTTTTGTTATTAAGTCAGCTTCTACTTCACAAACCACAAATGACGAAAGGCTCTTCACAGCTATGGTTGCCAAATAAATCTTTAACAGCATTTAGCCACATACCAAGCTGAAGTTATTGCTTTACTAGTTTACAACATTTACATCATGTAACATTAATCACCTACAAGTGATCTCGAATAAAAACAGCTGGAGAAAAGAATAGCTCTTATTTACTTTAAGATAAATCCATCTGCAGACCCAAGATGTGTCAGTAAGTGTATGTTGCTTCATTTTTGTTAATGCTGAAAAGTCTGGCCCTTTGGGAAACTGCTGTATTCTGCAATCTACAGTCTTGAGCAACCCCTCATGTTTATAGTCTGCTGTAACCTCCTAGGACAGGAGTCCCCAATCCCAGTCCACGAGGGCCGGTGTCCCTGCAGTTTTTAGTAAATGGTAAAATGGCCTGTATTTATATAGCGCTTTACTAGTCCCTAAGGACCCCAAAGCGCTTTACATATCCAGTCATCCACACACACATTGGTGATGGCAAGCCACATTGTAGCCACAGCCACCCTGGGGCGCACTGACAGAGGCGAGGCTGCCGGACACTGGCGCCACCGGGCCCTCTGACCACCACCAGTAGGCTACGGGTGAAGTGTCTTGCCCAAGGACACAACGACCGAGACTGTCCAAGCCGGGGCTCGAACCGGCAACCTTCCGATTACAAGGCGAACTCCCAACTCTTGAGCCACAATCGCCCTTTAGATGTGTCCTTGATCCATCACAGCTGATTTAAATGGATAAATTACCTTCTCAACATGTCTTGAAGTTCTTCAGAGGCCTGGTAATGAACTAATCATGTGATTCAGGTGTGTTGATCCAGGGTGAGATCTAAAACCTGCAGAGACACCGGCCCTCGTGGACTGGGATTGGGGACGCTTGTCCCAGGACCTGGCGTCCACATATGTGGACATCACATTTTGGGTTATTTAGACCAAATATTTGCTCTACAAGGGCCTGATATCCAAAAAAAATCTGGTAATTCTTTGTTTTTACATTCATCGGGCCCCAATCAGCCCAAATGTCAAAGAGAAATTAAAAATGCATGCCTTGGAAGAGGTCAGGTCTTAGGAGGTTAAAGCAGGCAGACTCTCCTGTAATGTTTTTTCTTTAGACATTTTCTTCTTCATTTTCTCTCATTTTTAGTCCAGTTGTTGCATCTGACCAGTTTCAGAAGTATGTTTAAGCAATTTAACTTTCAATCATAAAAGGGTACATAACAGATGAACCATTGTTGTGTCTACACACAGTAGAGAACTTAGTAAAATAAATAAATAAATAGTGTTTTTAGCCACTTTGTTACATCTTTATAGGAATCTGAAAAATGCCCAAAATAACACAACTTAAAGAAATTCCAAGAACGCTGCCTAAGAGAATTCAGGCTGTGTGAAGAAAAAAGATGATCATATCACAGATCGACTTTCAAGCTAATTAAAATTGTAAAAACTCTGTTTTTGCTCATACATTTGCTTATATTTCAATAGACTGATGCACCTGTTTGACATTTTCCTAGCAAAATATGAAAAAATTAGGAGGGATTTAAGACTTTTGCACTGAATTGTAACTCCTTAGAGCATCATGTATAAAACACGCAGTATTAGCTCAGCTGCACTCAGTGCTGTTATGATGCTGACTGATAGATCTTGGATGAACGACAGTGGTGCTGACTGAAGCTCTATCACCAAACTTGTGTGTTTTTCCAGCCATGCAGCAGTGAGAGAGCAGGTGCAGGAGCTTCAGCAGCTGGAGGTGTGTACAAGTGCAACTGTTATTTCTTCTTATTGTTATATTATCCTTATTTATTTATTTTTGAGCTACACAAACTTAAATTTAAGCTTATCTGGTTGAAATGAGTTTAAATTAAACCCATGACCCGTTCCTTTTGAACACTTTAAACTGTCTATTTCTTTGTGTGTGTTTGTGCTTGCAGAAAGAGTGGGACTCTTTCCTGGAGAGTGTGGACAAAGATCTGCAGACAACAGATGTGCAGCTGTCTGGAGGAAAGACGGCCGACAGTTTGAGCCCAGAAACTCTATTCACCGATGGAAGAAGTGGAAGGTAAGTTTGCAAACCCGGCCTGAATGTGGTGCACCAGCAAAAACCAGTTCAGAGCATCAGCTGGTTTGAGGTGATGTGTGTTGTTTTTTAACTGACCAACCTGGGAAGACCATGTAGGTTTTTTTGTTCCATGAAAACCAGAGATTAGTTTCATTAAGATGTGTTGTCTTGTGTTGTATTTAAAGGAGTGTGACTCTCAGTCAGTACCTGGGTCAGGGTCAGAACCTGCTGCTGGTTCTCCTCAGACATTTTGGATGACTGCCGTGACGAGACCACGTGACCGAGCTGACGGCCAATCAGGTCAGCGTACCTTTATTCTTATTCCACTAGAAAAAACCATCGCCATACTGAATGAACTTCAACACTGAAAAACCACAGGCACACAAAAAACAAAAACACACTGTTACTTTTTTATGAAGACAGAATTGGAAATTGAATTACTAATTTAGTCATTTAGTAATCCACAAATTGTTTGTTAGGATCAGAACAGAGAAAGCCAAGATTAAGGTTTAAATTCATGAAGGCCAGTTTGTGATGTTAATAGTGGGTTTAAGGTGTATCGGGGGTTAAAAAATCACAGAAAAACAACAGTCAGCTCAAGGTCTTTTTTATTGTAAGGTAGAGACCCTAAAATAATAATACAGAGAAAACCCCAGTAATCAGAGGATTACTCTGATTACCCCCGCCCTGTGAGCAAGCACATGGCGACAGTGGGAAGGAAAAACACCCACGACCCAAGTTCGCTCATAATATTTTACGTCTTTTTATTACTGCATCTTTTTTATAAGCACTTAGTTTACAAGGACGAAATCTTTGCTGCAAGCACTGAGATCCCAATGAAGCCACAAACAAATCTTTTCTTAGCAAGACAGCCTATAACATTGTGCTGAAATACCCCTTTTACCTCTTTGAGGCTTCATTCTGTCTACAAAAGATTCTAAGATGTTTTTCCATAGTGGCTGTCTTCACTTAATCTTGCATCCAAAACTGGTTTAAAACTTTTTAAATGTGTAAACAGTGTTTATCAGTAATTAACATTGTATCATCCCGCAGGCTCTGCTGGAGGCTCGGTCAGTGCGGGTCTTGGTAGTTTCTTTTGGCAGCGTCGAGGGCGCTCAGCTGTGGTTGGAGCAGACTGGATGTACCTTTGACATTCTGCTGGATCCACAGAGAAAGGTTAAGAATTTTTTTTCCCCCGCTCTGATCGTCTGATTCAAAAACTGTAACTTCTGCTTTAAAACAAATTCAAATAAAAACAGTCAGTCCGTCTGCATATTTTACTACATTTTATATTTATATTCAGTGCTGGTCGGGAGGTGCATAAACTCTAAATAGGCCACTGTAATTTATAGAAAGTAGATTTGGCTGTGACTCAGTACAAACAAACCGAGGGACCCGGAGGATTTAGCAGCTGTTTGATGATGTGTCATAAAAGCCCAGCGACCTCAGCCTCCAAACCATTTATTCAGAAAAGTCAACCACCAGATGTTAGCTGGAGTCAAGTGGAAACAACCAAATATGAAAACAGAACATTTTCCACATGCCACACAAGCAATCCTCAGTCGCAAAAAATGCGACGCTGATGCATGCTACTGACTGTATAAACCGCATTAAATGTCTCTTTTCTGGCACAGGTGTACAGAAGTTTTGGCCTTGGCTCATCCTACGCCAAGGTGATGAAGTTTGGCTGCCTGCTACAATACTCAGACTACGTAGTTGCAAACATAGACTTCCCAGATTTCCCCCATCGTCTGCTGGAAGACAGTTACCAGGTAAGAATGCACAAGTCTGTGAAAACCTTTGACGAGACTCTTGTGATGACACATTGAGAAATCTATCCAAGGATGGATTTACATGCATGAGTATCTCGCATCCTTCTTCTATCCCTTGGATATTAGCAAAATGAAAATCCAAGTTGAGTCCCTGAAGTCCTGCGAGATTAATATTTTTTATCTTGTATGCAGAAGATCAATGTTGAACATTATAATTAACAGTGTGCATAGAAATAAAATGAAAAAATGCCCTAACACCCTCAGATGCACTTAGCCACCTTATATGGAGACAGCTTATGATTAAACTGAACAAAAGCACTGTAGATGTCTCTTTGGTTGAAGTCTATCTAACTGCTTTGGTAGATAAATGTGCTCTTTCCAGCTTCTTCTATTCAAACCTGACCATGATGTAACTGAGGACACTTTACTTTAAAAGTGAAAATTAAAATGATGACAGAGGTGAGGCGGTGAGAGTGTGAGTTTGTAGAAGTCAGGATATGGTTCAGATTCTTTTCTAACAATAACTTTAGAGATAAACATCCAGTGCCATCATTAAGTCCTTCTCTGCTTCAGGTCATTTTCATGTTCTTGGTTTTGTATGTGGCCCTAATTACAGGCTCATGTCTATATCTGTCTGTGTAGCTGCATCAGCCTTTTAGAGAACACGAAACCTCCGTGATCAGGGTTGGGAAGGCAGCGAAAAATCCTGTCTTGCAGAACACCAGAAGAATATTTTCTGTTTCTTAAAGCACTTTTCACAAACTATATGAGAGCAACTACTACTACTTAGTCGTTGGTTATAACCAGAAGCGCTCGGGAGGTCTTTTGGTCAGTTAAATGCATCAAATGCATCAGGTGAGACATGCAGACAGAATAAATGCAGGTCATAATTTGCACAGAAAACAATAACATATTTATTGTGTTTTGTCCTTTGGAAGAAGAGGGCATGTATAGTATAAACTATAATGTTTAAGCTGAAACAGCCGGGGTTCCTTTAAAGGAAAAAGTAATTTATGGCTATTTATGGGACTCCACAGGGTTCAGTTTAAAACTGCAATACGTTTTTATACCACTTGGGGGCAGTGACACATTCATATTGTCCTTTTAATTCAACTTTACTGATTAAACAGTTATTTATTTATATAGGCGGCATGTTATGGAGCAACATGTTCATTATTTTTACATTATTGCTACTTTAAATCCCCGGGTGACTCTTTTGTTTTAGAAAATTAATTTTAAATACTCCATAACAGACAGGACTACCACATCCACCGTAAAAAGTCAGACTGACCTTCAAATTTTACAGATTTAACTTCAGGAGTGGTGATAATTGAATAATGTGTGTCTGTCTTTTCAGCTAGGAGGTGACTTTTTGCTGGACAGTGCAGGGAAGGTACTTCTCTCTCATCCATCGAAAAACCCTCTGGACAGGCCGACCGTGGAAGACGTCTTGCAGTCCGTGGACTCCGCAGGACAGTCCACTAACTCTGCTCACAAGCAGAAGCTGTGAAATTCATTCAAACACAGCCTCAGGGGTACAAGTCGTTAAACGCATCGCTGACTCCTCACGGCAAGCGCAGCTCTTTGGCTCGCGTTCATGACGTCACACCTTACACTCATGACATCATGAAGGGGTGCGACTGATGTTCCAGCGCGAGGCAGAGACATCTGCTCTTCTGTGTTGCGTCAGCATGGCGATGCAGCATTTCAAATAAAGTAGTGGATTTGATTAAAACAGAATTTGACAATATATTTGTATTATTTAAATTTAACAAAGACTGAAGATTTTACCTTTTAAAGGTGCATTTAACAGGTTTGGATTTTAGTGACCTCAAGTGACAGTGAACGGTAACACAGTTTGAATTACATCATTACCCACAAATCACACAGTGATATGAGACTACTGCAAAAACCTTTTTATAACATATTATCTATGATCCATGAGTAGTTTGATGATAAAATCACTACCCAGATAAGGCTGAGCACTAAAAATATGTTGAAAAAATATACTGACATATTAATTTATGGTCAAGTATGTGCCCTTGCTTTATGTTTTAAAAATGTGACATTTATATACAAAGTTTCTCCACATATGTGAGAATTTAGGCAAAATTTAACAAGAACTATAACTTATTTTGTAGCATAAAAAAGGAATTTACCTCTATATTTCTAAACAGTTGTGATATTGCAAAGGTTTTGTCTTGGTATGAAAATGAAAACTCATTTTAGTCCACTGATTTAGTAGTACTATTTAAAAAAAATGAAAAGTAACACTCCTTACGAGTGAAGCAAATCTCCCTTTTACCTGTTGAACATGTTGAACAAACTTTAATCAAACCATAATAGTAAAGATTAAAAAAAAAAATACATCCAGGCTTTTATCTACACTAGTTTTCTCTTTTGTCTTTATGCATGGACTCTGGTTCAGGATACATTTGCACACAGTGATGTGTCATTTTAAGGAAGTAAAAGAGGGTTCAGGGTGGGACTGCAATAACAGAAGTCACACCCAGCACTAGACTTTGTTAAAACATCTTCAGCATGAAACATAGAAATGCTGCTTAATTCCACTTTAGCCAGAGTACACACTGATTCATCCCTTCAAGTTCAGTATGTGCTGATCCTGAGAGAAAAAAATAACTCCAGCGTTCCATTTATCTCTTTTTTGGAAACTTGACAAATATTTAGAATTCCATGAATGAAATCACAGCAGAGTCCAGACTGGCTTTAACTCATATTACTGCTGCTGCATGAATAATGTAATATTCATAAGTCTGATAAAGCCTTATTCAATCAGTACACATCTTGTATAGAAATAAAGGATTTCTGAGACATTGCTGTAAAACACTTTAAATACTATAAAGTATTTCCATTCAGCAAGAATCTACTTAAACAAAGCTACAAAGTTTTAAATGAAAATAAATTATTAGAAAATTGAAATGGGCTTTGTTTTCTAATGAGCTGCTGGTGTTTAATGTCATAAAGAGAGGCTGTTTGGAAAAGGTTCCTTTTAAAGAGCCACCCTGTCATCAAATTCGCACATATAGTTCATGGTTCGATCGCAGTAGTGGTCCCACCAGTCGCCATCATCTGACGACATCGCCACGCAGTTCTCCCGCCTCCCTCCATCTGGCTGGCTGGACAGGAAGTGCTTACGCCACTGGAAGTACGTGACCCGAGTTCCATCGTCAAAGAGGTACAAGCCCTCAGAGCGGAGGTCGTTGACTCCCAGCCAGACCGGCCAGTTTCCAGGGTGGAAGAAGTTCTTTACGTAGTCAGCCAGGGCCTCTTGCTCCTTTCGATCACGGGGCATTGCCATGCGTCCTCCACGTTCTATGCACTTCCTGGATGCTCCGGCATAATCTTCCAGGCTGTTGTACACCAGGTAACACTTGTATCCAATCCGTTGTCCCTTCTCGCAACCTTTGAAGCAGAGAAAAAACAAGACTGGTGCGTTTTCAGACATTTACCACAAGTTTCTGAATTGGCCACTTGAAGCGGACTCCAATAGAAATAAACATGTAACATGCATGGTTTTGATCTCTATGGCTAATCTTCCCCTTCATTGTAACTGCATGGAAGACTAAGTTTATTCATTTATTAATTTTTTTAAAATTGTGGTATATCTTGAACTTATGGACTATTTGGTGCATGGCTGCTTTGAGTGGTTGCAAATAAACTAAACCTCTTGGCTGTTTGTGGAACTTTTTAGAGCATTTTTAAAACAGCTATCCACAATCTAAAGATGCAGCTTGCTAACATTAGCTGCTAATGTAACATGCTATCGTGTTGTCAAAATATGATCACTTCTGGCTGAGGAAACAAAACCGGAAAAAAAAAACCACATATGAAAACATGCTTTCTTTTGAAAGCAGTCGAACAATTTGTTATCCTTTCATAACCTTAATAAGTCATTGTTGAAAACATGTTAGCGGGGAGAAATTAGCATGGCTCTGTTATCTCCATTTTTAGCTGAATTTTGGTCTCTACCGTCTCTTAAGGGAATCTGTGTTTGCTGAATTTTTCAGCTTTATGCAAATGTTTTTATATGCTGGTTAGTCTGAACAGGGAGCATATGTGGGTTTATTTTCCAATGAAAATGGTTACCATGCAACCAGAAGAGTGAATCAAAATAGATTCATAGCCTGAATAAAAACATGCTAAAACAAGCCAGAGGAGTGCGGGAAAAAGTGGTGAGTGTTCTCTCTTTGAAATGCTGGTTTTGATTTCAGGCTTGAGAACTGATTGATCTTCCTCTTTTGTTTTTTTGTTTTTTTTAAGAGGATCAAGTCCCAAAACCAAACCAAACCAATGTCACGCCTCTTGTTATTATAGCTACTTGGTTGATGCCTGGAGTGCTGAGCCATCAGCACGATTTTTAGTTTAAAGGCACGAGTGCACCTCACGTACCCTTTAATTTTGCTCAGAGTTGACAGAAATGCTGTAAAATTTCAACACACCTTGTTGATACAAACATAGGCGTATTTGCATATTACTGAACAGTTGATATGTTAGTTCCTGCATGTTGCATCATGTGTCCATGTTGCCATTCAACCTTCCCTTTCTTTGCACATATCCACTGTCCTTCTCTGGCCTTCAGATTTTATTACCCCTGTTAATTAGTATTTATCCTCCAATTAAATTTTTAGGTGTATTTTATATATATTTTTCTCACTATTTTCTCATTACTGATAGTTTAACAAATAATTTAACGCTACAAAACATAAAATAGAAATTTATATTTATACAATATTTAGTCTGCTATTTTAAAATGCCATAGTGCAGGATGGGATGCTTGAAGTAGATCTAAGGAAAAATGATTCACATGTACCTTCGAGTCTTCCGATCTCCTTGCGGTTGTCCTTGCTGTGTTGGTAGACCTCCTGGATGCTGTCCTCCAGCTCACCGACTTTAGCTGCCATTTGAGTGATGAGGAGCAAGAGAAAGACGGGAACATAAAAGTAGGTACAGCGAAAGGCTTTGTTCCCATTAGATCTAAATCGAAAATAAAAGCTCCCGTGGTACAGCATTAATACCCCTACTCTCAGTTTCATCAACACCATCACCAGTCTTACCATCCATCCTGGAGAGACGATCCATCAACTGGCTGACTTTAACATCCAGAGTGTAGTGACCGACATTCAGCTTGTGGATGGCTAGGTCCATACTGGCCAGTCTGGATACTGTGGGCCAGAGTGGATTGGAAGTGAGAGCACAGTATGATATTTTTTTTTTTTTTAAAAGAGAACACACAAAGGAAGGCTACCGGCATACAGATATGTGACTTTCCAAAATCTGGACACTTCTTACTCCAGAAACAAAACAGAAAAGCCCTTAATTAGCCTGTCAAGAATGTCCAATGATACGGCCATCAGTCTGTGGATGCACTCTACCAACCAACGTTGGTAGCATAACTTATCTCTGTACGCTTTTTATTTTCTATTTTCTATTTGGGTTCCCCACCCACCCCTAGAGTTTCTTTTCTTTTTATCTCTTTTCTCTCTCTATCAACTCTTAACTCTTGAGGGAGATACCTCGCTGAGATGAGGCTTAAAGTTATCATGATGGTGAGTGACATCACAGATTTCTGACTCGTATGACCAAAACCAACACAAATTTCAACATTTCTAAAATAACGTACAGACATAGTTGTATGAGTTCTCAAAGTCCGACACTGGGCTGGTTGGCTCTGCTTCAGGTTCTGGTAGAATATCGGGAACATCGCCTCTTGTCCTTTTCACCTCTGGTTCATACGCCTGATGGAACACACACACACATAAAACTCCCAATCCATCACATGTAAGTGTGTTTAGTGTCTTGGCTTTAGTGGTTAAAGTAAAACCAAACCCAACTTCCATTTCTTCCCAAAACAAACTTATTAGGGTTGCATCCAAATTCCAGTTTAGACACATCTGGAGCTGTTTTACATTCATATTTTCCTTATCGCAGAAAGCAGAAGCATTCAATATCAAGTCAGGCCAAGAATTTTACTCCTATTACACTTATAGAACACAGAGGAGCTCAACCAAGTTTATCACTTTATATTTAGATTTAAGAGCTCAGTGGATAAAAATGTTACCATTTAAAAGTTGAATATCTTAGCTGGAAAGCACATGGTGTAGACTTTGATCGACAACAGCAATATATTTACAAGTATCAGCACGTTCCTTCGGTGGCTTATGGCATGGTGGAGGGAGAGGGGTGCTTTATTTTGAAGTCAAACACACATACAGACAAGTCCAATGAAAGAAAAACCTGTCGGGTTGATCTGCTTCTCTGGGTGTGTCATCATCAGTTCTTCACATGTCCTTTCCATTACATCATAACTTATAGTAGATAAATCAACACAGATTACATCATGTTTTCCACTTTATTCTTACATAAAGATAAAGAAAGAAAACAACAAAATCTGCCTTAGTGTGTCTTAATTGCCTCATTCACTGAAACACTCACAGTCACTCATATACATTTACTACATATGAAAGGGATCAGAGTCTCAACCTAACAAACAGGCATGGCAGATCACAGTTAAGAAAATGCACGACAGTGAGAGCAGCCTCTAATAGAAAGAGCACATACAGCATATGAAGTCCTGACCTGTGCTGGTGCAGCGCTGCCTGTCCCCATAGGAACACACACTCCCAGAGAACATAAACACAGCAGAGCGAGCGAGGTGGCAGCCGGTCCCATTTTCTGCTTCATAGTAACTCTGCTTTTCCTTCAGCAGCAAAAACTCCCTCTGTACCTCCTAGTCTCTCTGTCTCTCTCCTTCCACTGTCTGGGTTTCTCTCTCTCTCTCCTTCACTCCTCTCCTACAGTAGGAAGCCAGTAGGAATCTCCCTTTAGATGTGTGAATGGGAGCTGGTGTACAGCCCTCTTTAAAAAAGGGGGGGGGATCACAGGTATCAAACAGGAAAGTCAAAATAAAGCCCCTGTTGCCTGCTGCCCGCTCTGCTGTCCTCCTTCAGAACAAGAACTCCTTTCAAACAAAGGAAAGCTCTTTGTTTTTCCTACTACCTCCCATTTCCACTCTTTGTGTGCACACTGTGGAGTTACAGGTCTCTGTCCGGTGGAAAACATGTACAGTATGTCTAAAACGTAAACAGTTCACGAACCGTGAAAAACAGCTTTGTTACCAGCTTTGCATTAATGTATTTGAGGATTTACCAGGGCTTTTATAACATACTCAAACTAACAACAAATATATGGGATCATCCAAAGTTTATGATTGAATTAGGTTAAAATAAAAGCTTCATTCTTCCTGTCTTTTCAGTAACTGCTTTTTTCCAATTTTCCTGTCCTTGAGTTAGTGTGCAAGAAATGTTTGATTGGCCAGCAAAAAAATGGGCATTTTATTTCAGTCCTTGAAAATGTAAATAAAAACAGAATGCAAACATTTGAAAACCAAATTTTTTAAACCTAAAAACACAAATAACACATTTGTGAAATGAAAGTTAGGATGGGGATGAAAGAACACCGTAAAACCAAATATCTGGTGGATTATCTGACATATAAAAAGAGAGATGGGAGTAGGGCAGAAACCGAAACTGAATGTTCATGATGTTCAGGCTCTCGTGCAAAGCTGCATCAAAACCAGAAATGATTCTGGAGTAGAAATCTTTGGCACGGGAACATTTCTGAAAACCACTTGTCTTTGGACTGAAGATGAGGCGCACAGTTTGAAATCGAGCATTTGTGATGCTGTCGGCATGCTCGTGGCACGGGAGATCTGCATCTGTTCAGAAGTTCCATTAATGCAGAAAATGAAATATGCAGGTTTTCAAGCAACATATATTGTGATCGTTAGCTTTCAGGAAAGATCATGAAAACTGTTATGTCTGCTGTCCAAACTTGTCATGCACTGAAAGCATTTGGAGCATAAAGAAACACAAATAGAGCCCCAAAACTGTTGAGTGACTGAAATTCCATATTAATTGAAGAAACTGGTTGCAGACTATACTAATAATTGAGCTACCAACTACCCAAATGCTGCATTTCCTTCCTTGAGATGCTCTGCTAGGACTTTACTGCAGCCACCTTCAGCTGCTGCTCATTTGTGGGTCTTTCTGTATTTCGCAACTGAACTGTGCTTTATGGGGTTGAGATCAGGTGACTTCACTCGGTAATTGATGAATACCCCTTTTCTTTGACTTAAACTCTTGGGTTGCTTTTGCAAGATGCTTTTGGTCAGTTTTGCAGCATTTTTTTAATCAGAGCAGCGTATCGGCCCAAACACTTATAGTCCCAGCTGCTTCTATCAGCGGCTCTGTGATAGGCTGGCAACTTGCCCTGTGTGTACCCCAGGTTTTCCCATATGACAGCTGGGATAACCTCCAAGGCCCCCTTGCAACCCTGAACTGGATGGATGAATGGATGGACGGACGGATGGACAGACGAACTTCAAGCAGTCACCTACAAACACTAGTGATCCGGTTCCACTGGCAGTCATGTTTGAACATGACATGACGCCGCCTCCATCATATTTGACAGATAATGCGGTATGCTTCAGATCCTGACCTGTTGCTTTTCTGTTATCATTCTGGTACAACTTTTTCTTCGTTTGATTGATCCAAAGACATTTTCCACACCTGTGCAGCCTCTGTTAGATGTTTTCTGACAACGTTTAACCTGGCCTTCTTGTTTTATCGACAGATTACACCTTGTTGTAAATTTGTATTTTTATTCTCGAAGGCATCCCTTGATTGTAGACTTGGACAATAATATTCTGAGCTCATCCAAAAGTGTTCCTGACTTTGTTAGATAATGTGAAGGGAATTTCTTGACTAAGCAAAGAATTCTTTAATTGTCTTCTTTGGTCTTTCAGGCCTTTTGTTGTTGCTGAGCTGGCTACTGCATTCCTTCTTTTTAAGGACGGATCAGACTGTTGATTAGGCCACTCCTAAAGTTCCTGCTATGCCCTCATTGGGTTTATTTGGGTTTGTGAGCCTAATGATGGCCTCCTTCACTTACTTGAACATCTCTTTGGACCTCAAATGCAGTGGTCCACTGGAAAGCCACCACATGCTAGATCAGCACTTGGAATAAACTTCAGATCTTTTATCTCCTTAATTTTTTCAATTAAAAACAATGAGAGAACAGACATCACCTCACAGTCGACTGCCAATTAATTTTGAGCTTCTGAAAATAGGGGACTATGCATAAAAATGGTTGCAACTATTAAACAGCTAATGGAAGATTTTTGCCAAACATCTTGAATTAAAGCTGAAAATATTACACAACGTCTCGAGTGCTTGATTTGAGACCTGTTTTCATGATTTAGTGATATCATGGTGTCACATTTAAAATTCTTATGGACTTAACTATTTTTAGCTAAGGGTTTTACAGTTTGCAAGTCATACTACATATCATATCTACACAAACAGTCCTTTTATGAATTTGGCTAAATGTGTATAATATAAAAGTTGGACAGTTTTCTAGTATAATTAAATACATTGGTGGTAATAGAAATATAATTTTGTGAATTTGTTTAGGAAATTGTGACATAATGACGAACCTGCCACTGAAGAGAAACCTTATGTAAGTGGCCATGTGTGCGTATGTGTGTGTCCATGTGTGTTTGGGCCTGCAGCAGGAGGTATGCCAGTTAAAATGCCACAAGAATCCAGCAGAATTTCCAGGGAAGCGAATGAGGAAAGGCTCTGCGATGTGGAGACTGGGTGGAGCTCAGACGGGGACTGTGAGGGACAGTCGGGTCTGAGTCGGCAGGACAGCTGCACATGCACAGCTGTTTCAGTAACACAACTGATTCCAGACATGTTTCCAGACCTCAGTTTTGAGTGGAGCAATGGTCTGGAAAAATAAATGAGAGCAAGAAAATCCTTGCTTTGACCTCATGGTTCCTTATCGCTGGTTTATAGAAACAGTGAATAAAACACAATGTATTCAAATGCATCATTAGAAAAATATCTTCCTTTTTGCCTCATGGAAGATTTTGAAGCACACACTTGGGCTTGAGGAAATTGTCACTAAAAAGTTTTTACTATATTCTCAAAGGCAAAACAAAAACACCAAAATAATCCTCTTTAGTAACAGTTCTGCAGAATAGGACTGAAATGCAAACATTGCTCACTTATCATGGAGTATATCAGCAGTAAAATATCTGGATGACTCAGTCAAATTTCCACCTAACCCTGTCATGTTTGACCTGGGAGGGGAAAAACATCAGTCAGGAACAACACTAACAGTTACTAGATTATTTCTTTTGGCTCATAAGACATAAGGTAACAAACTTTACACAACAAGAGTCCTGTTTCTGTTTTCGTTGTAACTTTAATACCATTCAATGATTTTCATTCACCCAGATTTTTGATGAAAAAATACATCTTCACCCAAACATTTCCTGAACACAAAGCAGCCATTCAGGGTCTGGAAGCACTGGGTGGTGCTTCAGTGAGGCAGCCGGACTGGACAGAGGTGCCTCAGTCCAGAGTGTCCACAAGCACTCATAATACATAATGTGATAAATGAGCAATATAAGATAGTTATGAGTCAACTCTGACCATTTAATATTAATTAGTTCTTCAGTCATTCATTGTAGTCTAATTATAGATAACATAAAAGTGCAGATTGAAATCTGCTAACAAGTCTGAGGGAGTAGCCGACTACTGCTGATACAGCTTTATTATGACTGCACAGGGAGCTGTGCAAAGACTCAAAGGGCCTCAAGTGATTTCACCTGACTCAGTGGGACTGAATGTTCCCCAGTTTTGCTCAACTCTGCTAGATGCCGAGCGGCATTCTGGGTAATTCTGGTGCCAAATTTTGACTAGGAGGACGAAGCAAAAGCAAAATATCTCTGGCTCTGCACATGTGGTAGAGAGTGTTATCGACCATTTGGAAGATTGGTGGTTTGATCCCAGACTTCTCCTGTTTAGAGTCACCAATCAATCAAACATGCCTGGCTTTGGATCATGGGAGAAATTTCTGAGTTCTGAGACAGAACCCACACAGGCACATCGGCAACATGCAGACTCCACAAAAAGGTTCCAGCCGACTGGTGGATTCAAACCACCAGTTTGTTGTGGTTTGGCCTGACAGTTCAAAGTTTCAGATACTATTTTTGGATAGTAGTATATTTCAGATACTATTCAACAACTGAGGTGGTTCAGGCATCTCACCAGGATGCCTCCTGGAAGCCTCCAAGGCAAGATGTTTTGGACATGTCCTACCAGTAAGCAGACCCAGGACTTGCTGGAGAGATCATATCTCTCAGCTGAGAGGAGAGGTGGCTGGAGTGAGGGAAATCTGGGCCTCTGTGTTCATATGGCTTCTCCCATGACTCAAAGCTGGATAATGAGTGGAAGTGGGATGGATGGATTTTATCAGCTTTCTTGCAAAATTGTTATAGTTCTGTATTTTCTAACTAGTTTTTTTTCTAATTATTGTTCAATTGAGTTAAGTTTAGTTTCAATTCATATCCAGAGTGGTTTTATTTTATTTTATTTATTTACTTTTTGGTCTGTCCTGTCTGGCACTGTTAGCAATCAGAATTATTGCCTAAAAGCCAAGAAAAATGCCCAACAGATTTATTTTCCCAAGTAGATTGTACAGCTTTTGCTATACTGGTCCACTTGATTGTCATATTTTATTCTACCTTTATTATTAACATTATTATTATTATTTATTTATTTATTTCATGAGTTATTGCAGTCAGAATGGACAGGACCGGAGGACAGGAAAGAGAACGAAAGGTTGGGAAGATTGTGAAGGTCGTGGGGGGAAATAGAGGAGAAGAGGAATATAGAGAGCAAAGACTGAAAATCTGCTTGATCACCTGCTGAGAGAGAGAGAAAAACAACACAACTTCACAAGTTCACAAAAATGGACAACAGTTGCAGACAGTAGATGCCCTTTGTGCAGCCGTCTTCAGCAGTTGGTGAAATGTTTCCACTCACCTTATGGAAATGCTCGCATCAGCAGTAACAGTGGAGCTACTTGTTACTGAGTTCATGTTCAGAACTTTTGATCAGCTGTAAAACAGCCTGTTTCAGTTTAAGAGTTGTTTTCAATAAATTGCATGCTCAACAAAAATCTTTTGTCTCGCTCCCATTTCTTTTTGTTGCATGTTGAAGCTCTACTTGGAACCTTGTTAAGATGCAATCATGCAAAACATAATTTCTGGCCATTTTTCAAGGGCTCTTAAATTTTTGATTAGGATTGTATGTTTAGAGGCAGCAGCCAACCAAGATAATGTGTGTCTGTAAGTACCTGTTTGTACACCTGTGTGTGAGCGCAGTTATGTTCATAAAGTTTCTCCATGTAAGTATTTAATTGTGGGTATGGGGAGCCATAGCCCTGCCTTCCAGGTCATGAAGTAGGCATGGAGGAGACATGGGCCCAAGATATCCAGAGGCCCCCCAGAACACAAGAGCCCAAGGAGGACCACCGCAGGGGCAATCGTGCCACCTACCTAGAAAAGGGCTGAAGAGTGTCCTGGATGGGGGTCACCTAGCAGCCACTGTGCAGAAGCCACAAGGGGCTGCAACAACGAGCCCGCAGGCTCCACAAGCAGCTGGCTACGTCAGGGCAGACTAAGCCCCAGGCCCAGAGACCCAAGGGCCCTCCATGCACCGGAGGAGGCCCAACAGAGCCAGGGGGACCAGGGGCTTTTTCTCATCTAATATTCGTTTATTTTAAGTAAACTATAATAACCATGCTTTTTTGCCTAACAGCCTGTTCACTTAATATAAAGATTTTTGAAATCTATAGAAATATGCCTTAATGAAGCTTTAGATGACCATTGGACTAAAACAGGAAAGCAGCTTTACATTTGCTGTACAGACTTTACTTAAGTTAAAAAAAAAAACAATTTAGCTCCATCAAACCCTAGCAACACTGACAAACGTTACTTTACCTCAGTGCGAGAGAGCTGAGCAGCTATGCCTACACCAGCCCTTCACAACATACATAATGCATGAAACAGAATATCGCTCTTGCTTTCCTAAAATACACGCTGCATTGTGGTTGCTTTGCACCCCGGAGGGAGATGGTAGATTTAGGTCTAATGATTCTAAACGGGGCTGATGAGATGTTTTATCAGAGCAGCACAAAACTTCCTTCAACTGCAGCATCCTTCTCTCTCCTTCCTAATGACATGATGGATTAGGAATCATAGATGGAGAAACACAGAGTTCTTTTTCACCACTTTTTCTGTTGTAGGTTTTTACTACCATAAGCTACTGCAGTGACTCCTTCCTTTTCCTCCACATGGAAACTTTCATCATCATGGTCTTTACTATTTGAGGAAAATATATTTTTGGGTGTCATGGAGGCATTTGTGATAGAATGAAAAAGATAAGAGCCAGGTTTAAGTACAATTTGTTTATTTCCTTCCAAACTGTGACCCCAAAATGCATGAATGTGATGCACGTGTGTAACAGAAGATACAATGAGCAGATAAATATAGAAAACTAAGCATTACATGTAGATCTGACACAAGTGCCACCAAACACTATAAGCCTGCCCATTTACCTACGACACAATAGTTGAGTGTGAATCATTTCACACTATGCACACTAGATTTGTTCAGCATTATTTTGAGGTCAAAGGTGAAAGCTGGGAGGTGTGAAAGTGTTTCCAAGTAGCTGAATCCATGCAGGACATCTGTAACTGGTTCCCATAGCAGCCCGGACATACAGCCCATGACTTTTCCATGACTAAGTCTGAGCACTTCCCAGTTCTTCCCTCCTGTGTGTTTTTTTCCAAATACCAAACAGAACAATGCTGCGGTTTCTATTTAGCTACATTTAAACCAACCATCTATTTCTATGTATGTATAAAAGCTTTAAATACATTCTGCAGTATTAAGAGATGTAACGGTAAAATCCCAAGATTTTTACTGTAGTAATTGCACTGTGTGGGTCAGGACTGCAACATCACGCACTACTCTAAATTTCTTAGGTTTACAGGAATATATAAGCATAAATAAAAAGAACATGAGCAATAAAGAATAACAAAAAATATTAACTTAAACCTGGATATGGGTTTAGTGTTTTGTTCCATGTTGACGAATAAAACTGTTCATTTGATAGACTCGTGTCTAGGAGCTACGTGTGAAATCAACTGTGCATTCACAGCACATGTACGCAACAGAATCATCAGGTTACTGTATGCAGCAGGATTATGTGACCAGCGTGTACATCAGATCGATAAACTTATTGATTTCAATTTTTCTCTGAGTGGATTTCCAGCAGACTTCATATCAAGTGGTAAATGTGGAAGTGTTTGGCAATTCTATGGACTCGATCCTATTCTGAGAAAGGAGAGGGGGGAAAAATCCACCAGGAAAGGGGCAGTGAGATAATGTCTTAACTACCCACTGAAGACGATTACAAGAACATAATGTGGTTATTTTAAAAAAAATGGTGTCTCCTAAATCTAGACGTGGATGTCTGTGGTCATGGTAGTGTGGTCCTTCTTTAAAGTTATGATGAGGATGACTCATTCAGAGCAGTGACTGGGTCCTGCTGTGGTTTACCAGTTGTCTAGGAAGTCGAATCCGGTCTTCAGGATGTTGCTGCTTGTATTAAACTGAAAGGAGAGAAACAGAGAGATCCTGATAAATAGCAGTGAGGCAGAAGACACTGTACAGACTGCGTTTGAGCTATTATTGGGCTACCAACGAAGAAGTCATAAAAGACAAAGACCTTGCTTGGTAATGCCCCTCCCACTGTCCTACTCTTGACTCTGACTCTGACACGGGAGGCTTGTCAGGTGACATGGACCTCACATGGGCTATTAAAGCTTGGGACTCTTTCTTTAATTGCACGTAGCATCAGCCCTGTTTAGGGTTTGTGTTTGCCTCATGTAATCAAGCCAGTTTGTGACAGTTTGTCTATCATATTTTTTAATCATCTCTGTCCTGTTCAAGCCATTCAGTATTCTACCTGCACTCTTCATTACTGTCACTGGGCTTTGCATTTTTGGCTTTCTTGCAAACTGCATTGTCAAGCAGCTAAAGTGCTATGTGATTAGGTTCCAACACAAGACCATAAATAACATATTAGTCTTCTGTTACAAAGGAAACAAAGGTGGTCGTGTTGGAGAAAGGCCAGGTTTGAAAGACCAGTGATGTCTCTTGGCAGAATAAGTCGTACACTGTCATTGTGGCATCTGCGTTGATCCTGTAACACATCAGTCTGAAGCCTTACTACAGAAACACGGGTCAGTAATAGACTTTAGCCACTATGTCTAACACCAACAAAATGAAAATGTAGCAACTACATGTTAACTCTCAGCTCCAACGTTATGACACAAAATGTCAAGGTTTGCTGTTAATATCCAATATTAGGTTTCATCCTTATCAATAACACTGAGTCCTCCCTTTAATGTAAAACTTATGTTAGTTTCTCTGTGTCAGTACAAACAATAATGAAGCAAAACTAAAAACATAACAACCATTTTTTGAAATTACGTTTTTTTAAAAAAAAAAAGTTTTCTAAACTATACATGTAAACCCGACCTTTAGAAAGCTTGGACCAGGTCAAGAACCAATATTACCATGGGCCTGTAAATACTGGGATAAACACATACGGTATGACCTTTTTAAAGCATATCTCATGCCTGGTCACCATCAAGCAGCAGGTACTTCAAAGAGCTGGGCCTTTTATTCTTAACTTTAGCTAGTGTTTAATAAAATCCAAAGCAAATGCTTAATTCAAATGTACTTAGTACTTGCAGTCTCTGAAAACGGAACTTACCTGGGTAAAAGTGGGGCTGACGTCAATATTGGCTGAGCCCTCTTCCTCCTTCTCTTTCTCCTTCGAGACATTTGAAGGCTTGGACACCAGGTTGGAGGCGAACATTTCATCGACCGTGTTGCTGACGGATGGCAGGGTGCTCTGAGATCTCTCCCAGCCTGCATTTGTAGATGGGACGCTGATAGGTGGGGGCGGGTTTGGAGAAATGGAGATGGATGCCGGGGTTGCGCTGACAGCGGTGGGGATAGGAGGTGGTGGCGCAGGAGGCTTGGGTGCTCTATGCTTGGTGGACCTAGTGGGAGCTGGAGCGTGGTGCTCTGCAGTTTCAGGCTCCTTGGCGCTGACAGAGCTATCCTGTGGGAAAATGTAAAGAAAGCAGCATTGAAGGATAACGTTCAGAAACAAACCTGGCATCAATTTTACATTTTCTTTTCTCTCCTTCTTAAACTGTAGCTTGTTTACATTTGCCATCTGCTTCTACTCGTGGAGGCGTCACTGATGCCAGATATTGCAGTTTCAGGCTAGGTTCTATTTTAAGACACAGTCTGATAACACATGTTAAGGCTGGAACTTTCCATCTGTTATTTATCAGAAACTTTACAGATCATAACAAATGTTTTTGCCTGAGAATTCGGCATCATCCATAACTTTTTTTGAAGAAGTTGCAACCTTCAGATTGTAATCAGTAAATAGGATGTGATGGTATTTTTACATGCGTACCTGTCGGAGGTAGGATGGGAGGGGTTTCTCTCCTTTCTCTATGGACTTGATCTGGCTGGGGGTCAGGGACTGGAAGTCAGCTTGCTCACCCTCCAGCCTGGACCTCTCAGCACTGATCTTCCAGAAAGATGACTCCTCTTCTGGTCTCCGGCCCTCGCTGACCGACACCTTCCCAACCACACAGAAACAGTTATGCACACAGTCCTGCATTCTTAAGATACTGTGAAGCGAGGCTTGTCGGGTAAAATTATTAAACCTATTTTAGGAGTTCTACTTAGCTCTTTTTAAAAATGTGAGCAAAGGTGAAGGTTTTTCAGAAAGAAATGTATCTGAAAACTTTTTTTGTGGCTACAACAAGCAATTGTTCTGTGAAAAAAAAATAAAAATCACAATACCGGTAGTCAGGCATTAACCGTAAGAAATACAAAAAAAATATACAGTTCACATTTCTGCCATTTTTACACAAAATTAAACAAACATCACCACATCCACTTCATGCTCGACTACTGCAAATGTTTCACTCATTTTACAGTCCTATTACAACAGCAAACACTTCCCTTCCAAATGTGCATGCTGAATCTCTGCTTCAAACATGAGGCCCCACCATACCTTTGTTCCTGCTGCACTCTTGCCAATCTGACCGGAATGAGTAACCTTCGACGCTTTTGAGTCAGACTGGGAGGATGATGAGATCCCCTGATCTACAGGGCCTGATGTCAAGCTGAAATCTATCTGACTCTGAAAGATGCGAATGACATGTAAGGGAGGATATACTTTATGTATCCAGAAAACAGACATTCCTGTTAATTTATTTTTACCTTTGTTTCCCACGAAAAAGGTGCAGAATGCTCATCCTGCCAGGTGATATCCTAAACACAAACACATGCTGTGATTAGTTTCAGCTTACACAGTCATTGCGCTCACTGCTCGCATTTAAGGGTATTTATACTAGGTTAGGTGGCTAAAGTAACATATGATGTGTGTATTTTCTATAATCTAGCGCCAACAAATACCTTGTCTATTGTAAGACTTCCTTTTGATACACTGGTTTATCGGTTAAAAGGCAACAACTGATACTTCCTACCTGCCAGTTTTTCCTTTATAGGAGTTAAACACTTGTCAAAATCTGCTCATAGCAGCCTTGATATCATTTAAAAAAAAAGTGTTGCTGTGAGCTGATGTGTATGTTTTGCTGCTTACTATTATAAAACAGTAAATATGTTATTAGTTACAAGTATTTAAAGCCCATAAAAGGCGAACTGTCTTTGCAAACTCTACTTTTTTTATGCATTTATCTTTTACAAATCAACGATTACATTAATAATGAAACTCGCATAAATACAGTGGCTCTTACCATATATAAAAATAAAGCCAATGTCATTTTAAACCCTTTAAAATATACAATGTTTCACTGTTAAATATTTCTATTCATTATACAGTGACACAACACCATATTTGTCGCCAGCCGTCTCGCCACAGTGACGTTTACCAACATATTTTCGAGGCTACGTGGCTCTCGTTAGCAGGCTTTTCTAGTTAGCGGGCTATCCTCGCCCTAAAACACACCTTAAACACACAAAATCCAAACTCTAATGTCTTTTAAGTACCTCTTCTCCGAAGTGAACTATCTTCTGACCCGTTTGAATGAGCATTTTAGGGTAACAGACCACTTCTTCACGCTCAACTCTGTGCATAGCGTATCGGGCTCGGATATGAGGATCCATCATCCAGTTGTCGATGGCGTTGTCCTGCTCTTGCGGCGTCATTTTCTCCCAGGACGAGCCGTGCTTGGCTTTGATTTTCTCCCTCTCCTGCATTATTTTCTTTGCCATGGAGTTGATGGAGGAGAAGTACTCCAACTTCTTCTCCTCCATCCTGTGGGCATCGAGCCCCGCCACGGTTGCGACGGCCATCTTTAACTGGGGCCAGCTGTTGTTATTGTGAGAAAGAGGAAGCCGGCGTCGCTGAGTGGGCGTCACCATAAAATCCATACGGCACCACTGCTCAGATTTAAGGGCTAATAGCGCCATCTAGTGTTCTAGTGTACCTGTATTTGTGACCGGCTAATCTCTCTCTCTCTCTCTCTGTCTATCTATCTATCTATCTCTTCTACTATCTATCTATCTATCTATCTATATATCTATCTATCTATCTATCTATACTATCTATCTATCTATTATCTATCTATCTATATATTATAATGATCTTAGTATATAGTTTATGAGCTACGTAGTACCGTGATGATGAAGGTTACCGGGGCAAAAAAGTATTTAGTCAGCCACCGATTGTGCAAGTTCCCCCACCTAAAATGATGACAGAGGTCAGTAATTTGCACCAGAGGTACACTTCAACTGTGAGAGACAGAATGTGAAAAAATCCATGAATCACATGGTAGGATTTGTAAAGAATTTATTCGTAAATAGGGTGGAAAATAAGTATTTGGTTACACTACAAAAATAAACTCATACTGCTTCACAACCTGTAACGTCTTCTGTAAGAAGCTTTTCTGTCCCCCACTCGTTACCTGTATGAATGGCACCTGTTTGAACTCATCATCTGTATAAAAGACACCTGTCCACAGCCTCAAACAGTCAGACTCCAAACTCCGCCATGGCCAAGACCAAAGAGCTTTCGAAGGACACCAGGAAAAGTATTGTAGACCTGCACCAGACTGGGAAGAGTGAATCTACAATAGGCAAGCAGCTTGGTGTGAAAAAATCAACTGTGGGAGCAATCATCAGAAAATGGAAGACATACAAGACCACTGATAATCTCCCTCGATCTGGGGCTCCACGCAAGATCTCATCCCGTGGGGTCAAAATGATCATGAGAACGGTGAGCAAAGATCCCAGAACCACACGGGGGGACCTGGTGAATGACCTGCAGAGAGCTGGGACCAAAGTAACAAAGGTCACCATCAGTAACACACTACAACGGCAGGGAATCAAATCCCGCAGTGCCAGACGTGTTCCGCTGCTGAAGCCAGTGCATGTCCAGGCCCGTCTGAAGTTTGCCAGAGAGCACATGGATGATACAGCAGAGGATTGGGAGAATGTCATGTGGTCAGATGAAACCAAAGTAGAACTTTTTGGTATAAACTCAACTCGTCGTGTTTGGAGGAAGAAGAATACTGAGTTGCATCCCAAGAACACCATACCTACTGTGAAGCATGGGGGTGGAAACATCATGCTATGGGGCTGTTTTTCTGCCAAGGGGACAGGACGACTGATCCGTGTTAAGGACAGAATGAATGGGGCCATGTATCGTGAGATTTTGAGCCAAAACCTCCTTCCATCAGTGAGAACTTTGAAGATGAAACGAGGCTGGGTCTTCCAACATGACAATGATCCAAAACACACCGCCCGGGCAACAAAGGAGTGGCTCCGTAAGAAGCATTTGAAAGTCCTGGAGTGGCCTAGCCAGTCTCCAGACCTCAACCCCATAGAAAATCTGTGGCGGGAGTTGAAAGTCCGTGTTGCTCGGCGACAGCCCCAAAACATCACTGCTCTCGAGAAGATCTGCATGGAGGAATGGGCCAAAATACCAGCTACTGTGTGTGCAAACCTGGTAAAGACCTATAGTAAACGTTTGACCTCTGTTATTGCCAACAAAGGTTATGTTACAAAGTATTGAGTTGTATTTTTGTTATTGACCAAATACTTATTTTCCACCCTAGATTTACGAATAAATTCTTTACAAATCCTACCATGTGGATTCATGGATTTTTTTTTCACATTCTGTCTCTCACAGTTGAAGTGTACCTCTGGTGCAAATTACTGACCTCTGTCATCATTTTAGGTGGGGGAACTTGCACAATCGGTGGCTGACTAAATACTTTTTTTGCCCCTGTGTGTGTGTATGTGTGTGTGTGTGTGTAGCAACCTAATACATATATAAGAGCTTTGTAAATTACTAGCTATATTAAAATGATCATCAGGGATTAGCATAACATAGCATAAAGGCACAAGTTGCACTGGATAACATAAAGAGGAAGATATAAATAACATTAGTGGACAGGGTAGTCAACTTACCTCATTGTGAAAAATGTTTATTTCTTATAAAACAAGCTGTATGGTGATTTTAATTGAGGATTGCCTAGGTAACACAATTATATTTTTCACCCGTGGTTCTCTTTTATGTGGCTCATATAAAATAACACAGTAAGAACACACAGCATGACTTATCTAAGTAGTGCTTTTCCTAGTCCACCTCTTTTCAACACAGTAGGCCCACAGCAACAACTCTCATTATTAAGAAGGCCTGTGTAAGTATAGTTGGATTCTTTGAGCACTTTTCTTTTCCTGCATCCTTGTGAATTCTGCTTCATGTCTTTCCTCAACCTCATGAAGTTGTTTTGGGGGCTATTCAAACGCTTCATGTGTCCATTAAACCTGTTGTGTGTTGTTGACCACTTGGGGGCAGTGGGAACAAGCTTTAAAAGCTGGGCTTTATAAGTTGTGGCCAAAAAAAATTTGTTTTTTAAATTTCCTTTATCTATTTACCCATCTTATTTTCCACATACTGCTTATTATTACACTTATTTGCCTTGTATGTCTACTGTACAAACTGAACTGGAATGACTGACTGTTAACTTTCATAATTTCAAATAAAGTAAATAATAACAATTTTTAAAAAAAGTTGTGGCAAAAACATCGGCAAACTGCTGTATCTTTACTCCTTTAGCTGCTATGCATTGATTTTAAGAACTGCAAAGTTAAATCATGTGCATGCTTTATTCATCTAATCCACATGGACAAAAAAAAGAACCACAGAGCTGCAACAGTCATTTGCATCCTCTTTGTAAAGTTACAGAACTTCATAATCACATACTACTTTTAATTTGATCTAATAGTCTACATCTGAGTATTGGTATTTATTTCTCCTCACAGATCTGAAATTTGTCCTTGATGTTTTACTTCTTCTCAGTGAGTCATTTATAATAAATCAAATGAAAGAGTTTCCAAGACAAAGATAATTAAACATAAAACAGAATTTTAAAACAAAATTCAAAACATAAAAAATATTTTTTTCTCAATAATATTTATTAAGATTACACAAGGTACAAAGACAAGCCACATGAAGTCACATATATTAATATATAAACATCAAAGCAAACCATTTTAAATGACATAAATGTACATTTCCAAAACATCCATGTCTGTAAAATCATCAGTACATCAGAGAAACAAAGAAAAAAGACATTTATAAAGCAAAGTAGTGCTAACAGTCATACCTTCTTAGCGCTACAAAATGGCTTTTAGTAAATGCAAACTGCAGCAGTTAAAAGATATCAGCAGTGGGTTCAGAAATCTAGTCTTTAGATATTTAGCCCATGTAGTCAAAGGCCACACATCAGACTTTTCAACTAACACCAAAACATGCACCTGTAATATTATGTACAAAACCAAAAGTAAGTTAAAAAGAGACAAAAACAATTTACTCCAGTGACAATATACCAAACATCAGATTGTTTTAGATGTTTCAGATGTGTGAGTTTATTGCATGAATTTTAAGCATTTAAAATAAATAGCTGTGAAAGACGTTTGTTTTCCCTTTTACAAATGTGTGCCAAAGCTTCTTGCAATGTATCCCTATTAGCCTCTTTGTTATTTGCCCTAGTTAACTGTTCAAATACTGCACATTGGATCAAAGCCGCACTTCTCAGGCTGTGCTGTGACTGACATCATTGAGGCTAAGTTTCTGATTTTTCAACATGGTGTCACTGGTGAAGTGGGGGTGAAGGGGAATGGCGGTCATCGGCACTGTTTTGGCCTTTCGTCTGGATGAGCGACAACACAGCAGGTAGAAGATCTCAACCACGTTGAGCACAAGCGACAGGCAGGATGCTACCATCATGAACATGATGAAGATGGTCTTCTCAGTGGGTCGAGACATGTAGCACTCAACAGTGTAGGGACATGGGGCTCGGGAGCATTCAATTAGTGGGTCCATGACGAACCCATACAGATAATACTGCCCCACAATAAATGCTATCTCCAGGAGGATCCTGAACACTATGGAGACCATGTAGTTTCCCAGCAGATTACCTTTAATCTGCACCTTTCCTTTCTCGTTTGTATACTTTGGAGCTTTTGTTATTTCACTGCTTGAGTGGGTCTGTATATATTCTCTCAGCTTTTTCTCTTTGTGGATGACATGCATGACATGACCGAGGTAGATCAGTGTCGGTGTCGAGACGAAGATGATCTGCAGGACCCAGAATCGTATATGTGAGATTGGGAAGGCGTGGTCATAGCACACGTTCTTGCAACCAGGCTGTTTGGTGTTACAAACCATCTTGGACTGTTCATCACCCCAAACCTGCAATGTTCAGATGACAGTGTTTATTATTATTATTAAAAAAAAAATAAAAATAAATTAAGGTATTACATTTAGTCACACAGCAGCACAAATCCTATACACTGAAGTGCAAAATCAATGTCCTAACATATAGTAAGCAAGCTGATTTAACTTAACTTTCATACTAGTTTTATAAATGAACTCGTTTTACAGTTATCTGTGCTTTTTTAATTGAATAACTGGTACACTTGATTTGCCTGAGTATGAACAGTGCAGACTGGTAGATGCAAAGAGTCACAGACCTGGTACAACTTAGGTTAAAATAATTGATTTGGAAATTTTCTTAGCTTAACCAAATTTTCTAAGTGCATTTAACTTGTTCAGTATGCATATGTACATATAAAGACTATAATATATTTAACAATTATGAAGTTAATTTGAAAAATTCTCATCTTAACTATTGAAATAATCAAATTATTGCAGACCACTGCCTTGCGTTTACACTTTTAAGACAACAAACCAAAAATATACTGTATATTTTACATATTTTGTAAAATGTTACTCTGTACAATGACCAGGCTGTAAAATAGAATTAGGCTATATATCTATAGTAAGATCAACTTTAATAATAAAACTTCAATGTACCAAACCAGTGTTT